TCATATAAGGTGGAGTTTACGGCCCACATGGAGTTAACAGTTGTAGGCTAACAGTCTTTAGCGCAGCTTATTAGGGATTTCCCAACGAAAAGGCTTTGTCGAACCCTCTTACGTTAACCTACCTTCTTGCCAGCGAAATAAAATTGGTGGCCGTGAACTCCTTGTCAAGTTGTTTCAGGCTTGTTCTTTGAGCTATAACTTCAGCAGATAAACCCCGACACTTATCCCTTAAGTGTACAAGGCTCAGAACGCTCAAACAGACTCCAAATTGTGCTAAATGATAGCAGGAATGAGTTTGACTTTCAATGAAATATTTGACTGTACAAGATAGAAAATTTCGGGTTGTCACAGTGTGAGACCTATGTATTACATGGGTTAATTAAAAAAAAATTAAATATCAAAATGTAAACATTAAGTATTTTTTAAAATTAAATTTTAAAATAAGGAAGAAAAAAACATATTTATTGCAATTTAAGATCATATTTATTACATTTAATACTTACTTATATAGCTATATATATCACGTGGTTTTTTAATTTTAAAAATTAAAAAAACCTAGAAATTGACATGTGGATATTATTTATTTCAAAAATACCACAAAATAATAAGTGTCAAAACTTATAAAAGATTAACATGTTGCAAAATGGATCTTTATTTATTAGACTAGATTGAACAAGTACCATTTAACCAAAATATTAATGATGCAAGCTTGTGACAAACAAATTTATAGATTTAGGATTACAAATTATGTTTTTTTTTTCTTTGTATTTGTAAAGTTGTTTTTAGTAATCATTATCAACGTTACGATTGTTCTTCTTTAAAATTATTTATTACTACGGTTAGTGTTGACATTGAATTCTTATAATATATATTTGCATAAAAATACATGATGTAAATCAATTTATTTTTTTTGTTATAAACTATTTGGATCACCCTTTTCCTTTTTATTTTTCACGATATATTGTTTGTTGATAACATCTTGTCATTAGTATATACATACGCTTCTGAAATGTGATTCCTTTTTTTTTTAGTTTTTATATTATTCTTAAAATTTAAAAACACATTAAAGTATGACAAAGTAAATGACTACCTTAGTTTTCAATAGTAAGTTTCCGATCAAATTAAGTTCGAGTTAAAGAAAAAGTCAAACAAGAAAAGAAAAAAAAAAATGTTCTTCTCTATTCATGTATTTAACAACCCGTCAAAAGATATATGTTTATCTGGACAAAATAAAATGATATAAGAATGAAACGGATAATTAACATTTTATTATTACGTTTATAATGGAATCAAATAATTAGTTCAGATATAGGAATAGGATGGTAACAACAGGAAGATTGTTAAAAGAATAAGATTACTTGATACAACTTTTGGGACATAGCTGTCTGGGTGGTGTAGTCGGTTATCACGCTAGTCTCACACACTAGAGGTCCCCGGTTCGAACCCGGGCTCAGACACTTTTGTTTATTCGTTTTTCTCTCATTTTTTTACCAAAAAAATCATATCTGTTTGTGACATCTAGCTATTGATTCGACAAAGATTCTATTCTTTCGAATCGAACAATGAAACAACAAGACTGAATTGGTGCATACATTTTGTTTAACTATGTTCTTTCTATTTCTCAATTGACTCGAGAGAAATTTAAAAAGATATCAAAGTATGAAAAAGTCCGACATGTTTTTCATAAGATAATAAGACACCATTTGGACACCCCATTGACCACTTTTTAAAAAATCAACTTATAGTTAACTACTTATAATCAGTTTTTTCGGAAAATAATACAATTTCAACCAATAAAAATATTTTAAAATTAAATTATAGTGTCTTTTTAACCAACCCCACTGCTATGATTCTAGAAAAGCAATTGCATTAAGTTACAAAATATGTAAAGTGTGAAGCGAATTTTAGCTTTCACAACTCAAGAAAATAAACATGTTTATAATACCCACAAATAAAATCAACAAGCTAAAACCAAAAATCCAACTTGAAGATTATTTAGTCATTTATGATTTAACAAGGGCTCATATAATTTAAATCGAACAAGTGGACATTGTAATTTGTCTTCGAATAATCGGCATATATTCATACGAAGCATGCTTCATATGATAGAGTGATCAACCATGTAACAGTTCTAACATTTTCATTTGTCTTCATTTGAATCATATAATTTAATCTAATGATATGTCAATTTAAACTAGAAAATGAGCAAAACTCCTATAAGGATAGGTGAGTCCTCAACCTTCCCTAATCAAATATTCATTCCATCTACCTTTAAATTAATTTCTTTTTTGTTTATACCCTAAAACAAGTTTGCTTTATTTGGTTCAGGTTATGTGGTTTGCAGGTTATTCGATACGGTTAAACGGATAAAGATAACCTTATTGGGTTTATGGCATACACAATGCATTGAACTCCATAGAGTTCAATAGATTGTCACATAATCTTTCTTTAATCCATACAACTCTATCAAATTTTTTTTTCTATAATGCATTGAACTTTACAAAATTTAATAGAATGTTATAAAATGTAATTTATAGTAAATATTTAAGAATTAAAATTTTTTCTTTTTCCCATTGAAAAGTTCAATGACCATTGAACTCCAAATCCATTAAATGCCAATGTAACATCTTATAATGATAGAGTTTCATCCATTGAATAACAGATAAACTTGTCTCCTCATTCAAGTCTCCGATTGAACTTATCATTATAGATGCTCTTAGATTTGATTAATTTTCTGAAAATTCAGGTTAACTAATAACACGAATAAGACCATTAGATTAATATTTTTAAAATTTGATTTTATAAATTTATTATTTTAAAACCCAAACTTGTTTTTTATTTTGGTATGACTTATTGGCAATGTCAATTCGTCATTCTAGTGTAATTGAAGTCGATCTTAACTTGGATTGAAAGTTGGTTTGTAATGTACCAGTAAATTGTTTTTAAATATATCACAACATTTTTCGTTAAAAGTTCCAAAGCCTGTTTTGATCATATAAAAAGTAGAGTGAAATAACTTATTGAAAATATATATTGTCTTTACTCAATCATCACTTGGATAATATCTAATAAATGTTGGTTTATAACTTAATCGAGTTTAATCTCGGTTCGACCAAAATGGTGGGGGTGAAAGAGTTATGTCCCCTTGCGGGGGAATACAAACATTAGAACAGAGGGGCAATAACTAAACTTCATATATAAATAAGTTTAATTTGAGATCAATTCTTCAGAACATTTGCCATATTTGCATTCAAAGGAATTGATGATAATTGATGATAGTTGTTCGAAATACTGTGAAAAACTTGCAAGTTTTCTTTTTTAAAAAACAATAAATACCTTATGTTTTTAATCAATGTACACTAAATAACATTATTAACTAACAATTAACGAAGAACCAAATGAAAAAATAATTAACAATTTTATTTGTCAACCTCGTATATCTTTTCCAACAATTATAATTATACTTTAATGAAATTACAAAAATAATTAATAATTTATAAATATAAAAAAGTAACATCTAATCCATACATCTAACAAAGCAAATTATTCTAATTTCTAATTGGATTTTTTCAAGATTTATGCAATATAAAAATCTATAAAATTACAAAACAATTAATGAAGTTTTTTTGCAGGCTTTTAATACTACTGTAAACAAGTATTATAGTCAAGTATCTATATTCCTAACTCTTCGTATTCTTTGAACTTTTAAATATAATATCGGGATTAATTCAGAAAAATCATATTATTTTGAGAAATTTTTAATAAAGTCCTAAAAGTTCTTTTTTTGAATAAAAAAAGTCTCGATTATTTAACATTTTGCCCAAATTAACAAAAAACCAATCATCTACATAAAATCTAGGTATTATAAGTTCAAAAATTGGGGTATATTGTAAATTATGTGTATCGTTTTGCAATCAAACGATTGCAACAATAATTGTAACTGGCTCCTTGGAGCCTATAAATAGGGCCTTCGTCCAAATGAAATAAACAAGTTAAGTTTGAGTGTTTAAGACTTGAGTTGATCTCAAAGTTCTTCTCTGTTGAAATAGTTTGTCTATTTCTGAATAGCAGAGTTCTATCCAAACTATCCACATAAACATTCAATTATTCAACACAATCCATCATTAAGACCCTCCATAGTCTAGGATGTAAGACCCTCCATAGTCTAGGGGTCTATATTGTAAATTATGTGTATCGTTTTGCAATCAAGCGACTGCAACAATAATTGTAACCGGCTCCTTGGAGCCTATAAATAGGGCCTTCGCCCAAATGAAATAAACAAGTTAAGTTTGAGTGTTTAAGACTTGAGTTGATCTCAAAGTTCTTCTCTGTTGAAATAGTTTATCTATTTCTGAATAGCAGAGTTCTATCCAAACTATCCACATAAACATTCAATTATTCAACACAATCCATCATCAAGACAATCCAATGCATCAATCAGGTATAATCTTATCCTAAAACCCGTGAAAGAGCCCACCCCAAGACCCGTGACCCGTAAAGGCAAGCCCCAAGACACCGAGCATCGTAAACGCAAGCCCCAAGACCCGTGAAAGAGCACAACCCCAACACGTTGCCTTGATTGCTCGAACGACAACCCAAAAACTAGCCGCGTTGCCTTGATTCCTCGAACATGTTGCCTTGATTTGTGGAACGATGACCCGATGACTAGAAGTGTTGCCTAGATTTGTCGAACGACGACCTTGAAACTAGCCCGGTTGCCTTGATTCCTTGAGCATGTTGCCTTGATTTTTTTAACAATGACCTGAAAACAAGCCTAATGGACAACATGGGTGCTATTACTCATTGCCTTGACGTATATATTGGGGGGACCATAGAGACGAAGCAACCATCTAGCACCATAAAAGCAAGCCTTAAGACCTGTGAAGGATCCCATCCCCTGAAGCGTTGCCTTGATTGCTCGAACGACGAGCCAAAAAATAGCCCCGTTGCCTTGATTCCTCGAACGTGTTGCCTTAATTTGTCGAACGCTGCCCTGATGACTAACGTTGTTTCCTAGATTTGTCGAACGATGACCTTGAAACTAGTCTTGTTGCCTTGGTTCCTTGAGCTTGTTGCCTTGATTTTTTGAACGATGACCTGAAAACTATCCTAATGGACAACATGTGGGCTATTCCTTGTTGCCTTGACGTATATATTGGGGGGACCATAGAGATGAAGCAACCATCGAGAACCAACAAGGCAAGCCCCAAGACCTGTGAAGGAGCCCACCTGCCAACGTGTTGCCTTGATTGCTCGAACGAAGAGCCAAAAACTAGCCCCGTTGCCTTGATTCCTCGAACATGTTGCCTTAATTTGTCGAACGATGACCTGATGACTAACATTGCTGCCTAGATTTGTCGAACGATAACCTTGAAGCTAGTCCTGTTGCCTTGATTCCTTGAGCTTGTTGCCTTGATTTTTTGAACGATGACCTGAAAACTGTCCTGATGGACAATCGGGTGTGCTTGTAACATCCGGGAATTTCAGGTATTATATTTATTGTTTTTATTTTGAGTTTTGAGGAAGAACTCGACGAGTTGGTGCGTAGACTCGCTGAGTAGAGACGTGATTTCTCATCCGGATTAATGACCGGACTCGACGAGTCGCAATGGTGGACTCGACGAGTTAGCGCTGTTTAATGAAACCCTAATTTCTCGGGTTTGGGCCTATTTAAAGGGCCTTATGGCCGTCATTTGTGCTCACCAGCCCCCAGAGCAAAACCCTAGAGCATTTGAGCGTGTGGAGGGAGAGAAGGAGCCATTATCAACAATTGGAGGTGTTGTTTTGCAAGGGAAAGGAAGTTTTAGCCAAGAGGAAGCAAGAGGAACAACCTCCTGAAGATTTGAGGTCCAGAACATCACATTTGAGGTACCATTTTCGACCCCTTTTCTGTTGAGGTGATGTTCATGTTTATTTAGGGTTTGTTGAGCCCTTTTGTGGCTAGATCTAGAGCCCATTTGGTACCATAAGCGAGTTAGGTTCTGGATGTAGACTCTTGGAGGTCCAGAGTGTCCCTTTGTCCAAGATTTTTACGAATCCATGGAGGTTTTGGGTTGGGATCTTTGTGTTTGAGGTCAAAACACCATTTATGAGTCATTAGGTGTGATATGAGAGCTAAGACATGAACTTTACGTGATAAATAAGCTTGGAAGGACTGGATCTATGATTTAGTGAAACAGATTCGACCTCGGAAGGTCGTTTGGGATTGTGCATGGAATGCACTCGTCGAGTCCATTAGCAGACTCGATGAGTTGGTGCGGGATGTTCATACCAGGGATTGAGTAACCGAGTTAGGTGAGTGACTCGGTGAGTCGGAAGGGACTCAGAGGAAATGGGGTTCTCGTAGGGACTCGGCGAGTCCACGCCAGACTCGGCGAGTTGGGGTTGACCATTGACCATTAACCAGAGTTGACCGGTGTTGACTTGATAGAGTTAGTCAACCTTAATTAGGAAGTGTTAATTAGAGATATGTTGTGTTATAGGAGGACTATAGCTCAGGAGATCGAGCACTAGTGGTTTCAGGGATTTATGAGTTATCGAGATACGCGAGGTGAGTCTTCTCACTATACTTTACCTTGAGTAGGTAAATAGAGTTATGTGATACAGTGCTTTATATATATATTGTTTGTTGTACTGCATTCTTCTATGTGATTTATTCTTTGCATGCTTGCAGAGTTAGAACCTGAGGGTTCACAGAGTTTGGGTGCACGGACCCACAGAGTTATAGCCTCGAGTGGCTAATATGTGTTATATGTGGTATTTTGGGGAACTCACTAAGCTTTGTGCTTACAATGTTTTGTGTTATGTGTTTCAGGTACTAGTGAGGATCGCGGGAAGGCGCCGACTTGATCAGTACACACACAGGATTTTATGATACGAGATCTTGGGATATTGTTATATGTTATACATTGAGTTTCAAACAATGATGTTTTTATGATTTACAAATGAATTATGTTTTTATAAATGCGAAAATTTTTTTGGAAATTTACGGTGTTACAAGTTGGTATCAGAGCCTTGGTTTGAGGGATTCGGGTACACCTTCGGGAGTATTTGAACTCAAACTGAGGATTTGGAAAATATTTTCAAAAGAGAACCAAATTTTCTAAAAGAAGTAAAAGATTTTTAGAGAAACACAGAGCAGAAACGTGTGTACGATCAGTCAGCGCCCGAACGGTGATTTCCCAAAATACCCTTATATTATATGTTTATGAGATTGATATGATGTATTCTCTTGCTAGAGTGGGCTAGGTATTCCTATTAGGACTAGAGTGCCCTGATTTGTGATGCCTTAGCCTAGGGAGAGGTGAGCTGCTATGAGATGCTTGAGAGTGAATAGGTAGCAGCGAGGAGCTTATGAGAGATCTGTTAGAGAGTGGATTATGCATAGTAGAGTACTTGGGATTTGGGATCCGAAGAGGAGGACTTGGGGTGTATACTGATACGGTGCGGACAGTAGTATTGGGCCGATACTACTGAAAACACCGGGTCGGTGTACAGTCCAAGTAAGAATCTTTGGGATGCCAGGGATCAAGGAGGGATGAGTTATCGAGTGCGAGTATACTCGAGTGAATTTCTAATATATCGTATGTTGTATTTCAGAGGTAGATCATGGTGAGGACACGTCTTATGCCAGAGAGCAGTGGGGCTAGTGATGAGGAGATCCGCCGGATCATCCATGAGGAGGTGGCTGCGGCCATCAGGGCAGAGATACCAGAGATGTTCGGTCTATTAAGACCACGTTGATTGAGACTTTTGACGAGCATTCTGCTGCTCTTTCTGAGGCTGCTGTTGCAGCGGCTACCGCAGCTGTTGCTGCTGCGAGGCCGCAAGGAGGTGATGCGTTGCTGTTCCGAGAGTTCAGCAACACGAAGCCACCAGAGTTTGATGGGATGCAGGATCCGATTGCGACGATGAGATAGGTGTCTGATATTGAG